TGGGCATGGACACCAGCACACGAGCACACAGACATGTAGATGCACAGAGACATACGTGGGCATGGGCACCAGCACACGAGCACACAGACATGTAGATGCACAGAGACATACGTGGGCATGGGCACCAGCACACAAGCACACAGACATGTAGACGCACAGAGACATACATGGGCATGGACACCAGCACACGAGCACACAGACATGTAGACGCACAGACACACATGTGGACACGGGCACCAGCACATGAACACAGACATGTAGACAGACACACGTATAGACATGGGCACCAGCACACGAACACAGACATGTAGATGCACAGACACACGTGAGCCTATACACAGAAACACACACAGACACGCTGCAATGGCCCAGGTCCTGTGCTGAAACCCCATCGAGGGGGCATCGGGATGCAGCAGGTGAGCCTATGGGTCTCTGCCCGCCAAGGGGCCCAGGGAGGAGGGGGCCAGGCCCTCGGGTTCCTGCTGGGTCGCCTAGCCTCCGGGCTGTGAAGACAGTCAGCACTGGTCACCGTGCCCTGTTAGGGCAGCCCACGCCCACACGTGGACACTTGGACGTACCAACACAGACACGTGGGCATAGACACACACATGAGCACGCACACGCGCTTGCACCCCCACTCCAGCCTCGGCCTGCTGCTTGGACCTGGGCGAGGCCCCGGGCCAGCACCCACCTCTCGGAAGGAGCCGGGCAGACTGCAGAGTTTGTAGGCCGCGTAGAGTGGCACTGTGGCCATGGAGGAGGTGGCGATGGCCCAGCCCAGCATGTTGGCCCAGTCGGGGAAGGTGTAGGTGCCGTAGTGGGGCGGTCTGAAGGTCACCACGCTGACCACAGCCACGAACTGAAACCAATGAGACCGGGCCAGGGTCAGGTGGCGCCCGCTGCGTGGTGTGATGGGGCCAACACTCCCCTGATGCCCCGGCCAGGCCGCAGGAGGCGCCCCAGCATCGTCCTGCTGCTGAGACCAATTCCTCCTGAGACCTGTGGACCTGTTGGCCCCTCTGCCCTCTGTGCCCGCCCACGCCTCCTCTGCCCTCTGTGCCCGCCCACGCCTCCTCTGCCCTCTGTGCCCGCCCACCCCTCCTCTGCCCTCTGTGCCCGCCCACCCGTCCTCTGGGAGCCCTGTGGGAGCCGCTCTCAGGGCCGGCCGTTCTCGGAGAGCTCCCTTGAGGCAGCCCGGTCACTCACTGAGGAGCACGTGCTGCACACCCAGCCCTGCCCTGTGTCTGCGTGTGCACCGCAACCACATGCGTGCAAGCCCGGGGGTCTTCCCATGGGACAAAGGGGCACCTGAACCTGGGTCAGGGTGAGGCTCACAGTGCAAGCTCCCTAGCTCCCAGAAAAGTAGCTGTCCACTGTTCTGGGCAGAGGGCACGTCTGGGCACACGTCTCACTCTGCCTGGACACGCGTGCTGCCGCGGCGTGTGCCTCGTGCCGCTTGCCTCCACGCCGGACGGCACACCTCTCAGACAGGCTGTCCAGCAGGCCCGGCCCTGTGTGCGGGCTGACCCGGTCTGGCCCGGTTCGCCTTTCAGGAGTGTTTACTGAAGGCAGAAGGAGCCCGTCTGGGAAACGCATCCCTCCCCGACTGACATCCACATTGGCGCAGGCACGCACGCCTGAGAGTGTGGAAGTGATTCTGCTGCTAGAATCATGGGCGTGGGCCCTAAGGCTAAGAACACGATGGGTAAAGTGCCAGGGCTGTCACACTGGGGTCGCGCTGGCCACTGGCCATCAGTGGCTCTGTCTGGAGCACACGCAGGCTGCAGACAGAGGTCGAGGCTGGGCTGACTCCCGGAAGTGCGCTTTCCCCTCTGATGAAGGCCTGCCCAGGAGTCCGTGGGCCCGCCCTGAGAGTCTACAGGCCTGCCTGGGAGTCCGTGGGCCCGCCCTGAGAGTCCACAGGCCTGCCTGGGAGTCTGTGGGTCCGCCCTACGAGTCCACAGGCCTGCCTGGGAGCACCAGGAGTCCGTAGTCCGCTCACTAGTGGACATGGATCTGCCTGGGGGCAGCTCCTCCCACACGTGAGCCTGAGCAGCAACCCGGAGTTGGTGCCGTGGCTGGGGTCCGAAGGTGGGCCCCGCTTTCCTCTGCACGTCAGCAGGGCTGCGTCCCATCCCAGGGCTGCTTGGCAGGCGGACAGCCTTCGGGGGTGGGGCTGGACTCGGTTCTGGTGTAATTCCACACAGGTGTCCACGGCCCGGGACAGCTGTCTCCTCTCCTTCCTACTCTGTCCACCCAGGGCCTGCCAACATGGAGGTGCTCTGTCCCTCACGGGTGCCTGCTGGGCTGGGTCAGGGCCAAACAGGTGCAGGGCCAGCCTTGGGCGGGCTGATGGGTCTGGCTCCAGCCCCCAACCCTGTCCCTGGCGTGTTCCGTGTGACCATGGGCCCAGGAGGTGCTGTGTCTGTGAGCAGCTCAGGGGGCTTGGCCTGGGCCTGGCCAGTCCTCGCACGGCTGACCGAGGCCGTTCATCCTGCCCAGCCAGTCCTTCTGGCTCTGTGAACCTCTGAGTCTGCAGCGTGGCCATCTAAGTCACAGGTGCGCTGTGTTCGGTGATCTTGCCCTACCGAGCCAGGAGGCCAGGCTGGGCTGCGGAGCCCTAGCTGGCCACCCTGATGACAAAGCTGAGTACGGAGCAGCGTGAGCCAGGCCTGCTGGTGAACCCTCGGGTGGAAGGGGCCAAGGGACCCTGTTGTTTCCCTGTCCTCAGACTTCTGGCACGTGCCCTCTGCCCCGGAGGTCCACACTGCACCTCTGCCCCCATAGACCGAGTGGGAGGACGCTGGTCATCTGCAGCCTCTCTGTTGCTCAGTGAGGCCCTTGTGACCACCAGGGCTCATGAAGGTTTGGGGGAAGGTGGACGCAGCCAGCCTGGAGGCTCCCGCAATGGCACTGGGGCCCCGCCTGCACACGAGTACACCCCCCCCCATCCCGTGGCCGATGCGAGGAATCAGGTGGACCAGCACCCCTCCCCACCCCGGGGCCGACATGGCTGACATGGCCGATGCCCTCACCAGCAGGAAGCAGGGGCTGACCAGCTTCCAGCACAACCGCCAGTACAGGCTGGGCCGGCGCCCGGCCCTCTGCTTGATGTCGTCGCTGAACTGCCCGACGCCTGCGGGAAAGCAGTACGGTGGGCCTGGGACAAGCCGCAGCCCGCCCCCAGCTCAGCTGCACGCAGCCTCTGCCCGGTGGCTGCGCTGACCAGCAGGAGCCCATGCCAGTGCGCACGGCAGACCCACACACCCTGCCCCACCGTCTCGGTCCTTGCCCTCCACGGCTGCCTCTGCTGCCCTTCGGAGCTACTCGAGAAGTCATTTTGTTACTTTTTTTTTGTTTTTTTTTAGAGATTTTCACTGTAGGGCGCGTGCGCTCGCCAGACAGACAGAGAGACATAGAGACAGAAAGCGAGAAATCACCCCCCAGGGGGGATGGTCACGCCGCAATCCCTTCTCCTCCATTCTCCTCTCGGGATCTTGGGCACGCACGCACACGTGCCTAGCATGAGTTTAAGCCACCGGGTCCAGGACTCAAACTACGGTTGACTACATGGCCACACGGCCACCACTGGCCACACGGCACGCTCCCAGGCCCAGGGCTCCGCCGTTACTTTCTGTCCCTGCAGTCGTGCTCCCGGGATGTGGAGTCTGAGTCTGAAGCCTTCCCCTGCCCAGGCTGCCCAGCGCACCGTGTGCACGAGCACTACCCGCAAAAGCTCTTCCTAGAAACTCAATCAACTGGCATTCTCTCCCCAGAGCAAGGTCCAGCGACCTTAGAAATGTTTTCTTGCAGCGGAATTATCTGACTCCGCTCAGGAACCGAAGGCGAGATTTTAGGAGGTCCGTCCCAGCGCCCTCGTGCGCCGCTTCCAGGGAGGCTCCACTCAGAGCCCTCCCTCCCCACCAGAACTCGGACATGAGGCAGGGACCCAGGAGGCCATGGGCAGGGGGCTGAGGGCAGAGGTGAGGGCGTGCTTGCCTGGCCCTCACCCCACAGGTCTGTGGCCCACAGGGATGTCAGTGTGCCGCCAGGCTGGCATTTCTGACGCGCTCATCGGCGGGCATACCTGGGCAGCCCCTGGCACAGTGGGTAAGCCCTGTGTGTGGGGCCGGACCCCACACTGCCGACCTCGGCTCAAATCCTTGCCTGGCCTGCCCTGAGGGAGAAGAGATGGGGGAAGGGCTGAGGACTGAGAAAGGACAGACAGACAAAAGCGGGGCCAGGCGGATTTGGCAGCGGCCCCAGCCATCCGGTGCTCACTCATCCAGGAGAGGCAAAGCCGTGTTCAGCTGTGGGCACCTCGCAGCTCCACAGCCCATCCCGCCTCTCTGCTGGCTCGGGCTCCTTCAGCCTAAGGCCCAGCAGTGTCTCTTCTAGAGCGGTCCATGCCCTGCAGCGGTATCTAAGCCTGCCCACTCCAAGGCCTCCCTGCAAATCCCAGCTTTGTGGCTTCAAACGCACGCCCCAGATCCCAAGGCCTGGAGAAATGAGGACAAAAGGTGGCAGCTTGACCACACCCCACGGAGTGCTTTCTGTCTCCCCCAGAGTACAGGCCCTCCGGCAATAGAGAGAGGGCATTTGGCTTTACTTTGATGAGAGGGGCAGGGTGACTTTTGGGGAGCCACAGGGGCTCCACTTGTGGAGGGGTCACCACTTAAAGGGGTGGACAGCCCTGCTGTCGGGGCCCAACGGGAGCACAGAGTTCTCTGTCTCCCCTGTCTGCAGGAGAAAAGTACATGCTTGGGAAGAGTGTTAGAATAGAGCAAAGCTGTCAAAGCCAGGGTGGTCTTCTGGGTCCTCCTTGCCAGGGCCCCGAGCAGGGGGAAGACCTGTGAGTGGCTGAGCTGGGAGCCGGGTGGGGCAGCATCAGCACTCTGCAGCCTCTGTAGGACGGCACTTACAGAGTAAGGGCACTGACCGGGGTCCAGGCTGGCACATGGCCCGTTTGCAGAGGAGGAGTCAAGGACCAAGTGGTGTCTGGGCAGGTCAGCAGGCTGGGAGGGCATGCCTGTCTGCAGCTGGGGCTTCTGTGCTGTTCAGAACACACTTGGCAGGCCCTGGACGCAGAGCCATCCCCAGGGCAGCAGAGACGTGGCCCGCTGATGACGACGGCACCATCGGCCTGGAATGCAGTGCGAGCCCGCGGTGCCACCGCCTTCCCACACCAAGCCAATAACGTCTGCCTGACCACGGGCTGAGGCTGGGACGCGGTCGGCTGTGACTGGCAGCTGGATGCGCCCATGGTCCGCTCAGGAGCACCCTGATGCCCACCCCAAGGGCTGTGAGCTATCCTCCCGCATGCACCTGCATCTCTGACCCATGCCTGGGGTTCTGGGGCCCGCAGGCAGAGGTCTGTGCTGGCCCAGCGAGCAGACCCTGCTGGGTCCCTGCAAGGCCAGGGTGGCCTCTCCAAAGCTTTGGTAAAACTCCGCCCAGCCTTACCGTAGAACCAGGCCACCCCAATGGCTTCGACGAACACCCCGAAGAGGATGGACGTGCCAGCCGCAAAGTGGTCTAGCAGCGTGAAGACGTAGATGCCGCCCTGGAAGAGAGGCCACTCTGGGCTCCAGTGCAGCACACCTTGGCTATGGTGTGTTCTGGACAGAGGAGGGCGTGGGCCACTCTGGTCAGAGGCCTGGCCCCGCGCCTGCCACACAGAAGTGAAGCAGCCTCTCCCCTCCAGGTGCTGGGTCACCAAGAGGTGGGACCACCCAGACGCTGGGCCTGCTGCCTCCCCTGGAAGAGGGTACCTCCACCCCATCCCCGGACAGTCCTCTGCGCCCCGGCCCAGCCCCAAAAGGAAGGGGAAGGCGACCGGGTCCAGGCGCTGTCCAGGTGCTGAAGCAACCTGAGCCGGCCCAGACTGGCTGTGCATGTGGTCAGTGGGGCGGCATGCGGATGCTGCTTCCCTGGGCTCGTCCAGCCTGCCCGTGCATGCGAGGCGAACTCTGGCGGCCTACGTACGTTGGTGACACAGAAGAGGGACAGGAGGAAGGTGGCCAGGACGACGGAGAGCGTGAAGAGCTCGCGGTGCCGGCGCAGCAGCTGGAACTCGTCGACGAGCCCCGTGATCACCGACTCCATGCCGCCCATCTGCACCACAGACAGGCAGGCCACGTGTGACCAGGCACCTGGCTGCACCCAGGCACAGAGCACCCAGGAAAGCACGACCCTGCACAGCTTCTCTGGGGACGCAGCTCTGGGTGCACAGAGTCGGCAGGTGACCCCCTGGCCCCAGTGCCGCTGGCAGGAAGAGTGCTGTGTGGCCGAGGGTGCCCTGCCATGCCGCAGGTGGGCACGTCAGGGAGGCGAAGCCGTGGCCGGGACAGCGTCTCTTCATGCCAGAGACAGGCCGTGCCTGGCCCGGTCACTAGCCGTGTCCTCCCTGACCTTTGGGCTGACCCCACAATGGCATGGGCAAGCGGCCCTGGCACCTCTGAGGGACCTCAGCCCACCTTGGTGGGGACCACCTTCTCCCGTAAAGCTGTTAGGGGACGCATGATCCCAGCTGCAGGAAGGTGAGACCTGGGCCCCCCTGTGGGCCATGACCCAGTGGGGAGAGCCAGGCGGAGGGGCAGAGATCCATCGCAAACAGGTCCTCAGCTCCCTGTGCCTCCTGCGGGCGTGCCCGCTGGCACAGAACAGCCATGGGGGGAGGAAGCTGGGTAAGCCTGCAGGCCGGGCCCACTGCACCAGCTGGTGCCCCCACGGGCAGGTACGTGGGAGGCTAGGCCATGACGGGCCATCCACAGGGCATCCCGGAAATGCGTCCCCTCTGGGGGGCTCGGGAAGGCCCCGCTGCTCTGAGCCACGTGTCTGGGGTGGGCGTGCTGGTGCTCCCCTGAGCAGAAATAAGAACGCCAGCTCCATCTCTGGCTGGCAAGGGCCCTCGAGTAACTGGCCTGCTGGCGTCCCGCAGGGTGCGCTGAGCAGTGCAGGCCCAGGGGGCAGGGCTCTGCCGGGCGCAGTCCAGGCCCCCGAGCAGCCGAGGCTGGTACTCACGGCGCTGTCGATGCCCAGGGTGAGCAGCATGATGAAGAAGACTACAGCCCAGGCCGAGGACAGCGGGAGGGTCGCAATCGCCTCAGGGTAGATGATGAAGATCAGGCCTGGCCCTGCAAGCAGAGTGCCCGGCCGCTGTCACACTCCTGTCACACTTGTCCCCTGCACAGCCGGGACAGGCGTGGCAGGACACCTCCGGGATGCTGCCACAGAGCAGCCCCAGCCCTGCACCCGGGAAAGGGCCCTGGGCCCCGCGGCTGGGTGCCCTCCACTGCCCGCCACCTCGCCTCAGCTGATGCCTGTGCACAGCAGGGGAGGGGGACGAGGCCGGCCGCACCGGGCACCACGCGATGCGCTCTGCGGGCAGGGGCTGCGTGGAGACCCAGGCCAGGGGGGTTCCTGGTGCAGGGAAAGGCAGGACAGGGGCCCGCGGTGTGCGCCTGCAGTCCCAGCGACTCGGGAGGCTCGAGGCCGGTGGGCTATGCAGTGAGACCTCAGAGAAGGCTGGGTGTGGCCACACTGGATTCCTGAGAGGCTGAAGCAGGGAAAGCATGACCCCAACGCTACCTAATGGGGGACAGTCGGAGGTGGGGACAGCCCAGGGCCTGGAGGGGCTCTCACAGCGGCCCTTCTCCTTCCTCCTGCAGATCCCTGGTCGTCTCCTCGGTCATGCGCCCTGTATCACGTGATGTACACATGTGCACACACACACACGGGAACACACACAGATGCACACATAGGCACATGCACATGAGCACATGCATACCATGCACAAATGCATGCGTAAACACACACTCACACTCTTTGGTAGCCTAACTTGTAAATTCCACAGGATTTCGTGGCTATGTTCCTGACCTGTCTTCTGGGTCCACGAAGAGCTGAAACACCCACCCCTTGGGGGCTGGTGTGGCCTGCAACTGCCCTGGCCGAGGCACTGCATGTAGGCACAGCGATGGCCCAGCTCGCCAGCCCAGCAACAGGCTCCTATAGCCCACACCGAGGGGTCCGTCAGCTGGGGTCCTTGGGCCCTGGGGCCCGGGGGCCGGGCAACCCCAACGGCCCCCAGTGTACTCGTAGCCCACAAAGAAAGAAAGAAAGCTGTCGCATTGAGCCATTGAGACTGAGGGGCTGTTTGTTACTGCAGTACCGCACAGCTGCCCTGACGGAGGGGCTGTTTGTTACTGCAGTACTGCACAGCTGTCCTGACGGAGGGGCTGTTTGTTACTGCAGTACTGCACAGCTGTCCTGACGGAGGGGCTGTTTGTTACTGCAGTACTGCACAGCTGTCCTGACGGAGGGGCTGTTTGTTACTGCAGTACTGCACAGCTGTCCTGACGGAGGGGCTGTTTGTTACTGCAGTACTGCACAGCTGTCCTGACGGAGGGGCTGTTTGTTACTGCAGTACTGCACAGCTGTCCTGACGGAGGGGCTGTTTGTTACTGCAGTACTGCACAGCTGTCCTGACGGAGGGGCTGTTTGTTACTGCAGTACTGCACAGCTGTCCTGACGGAGGGGCTGTTTGTTACTGCAGTACTGCACAGCTGTCCTGACGGAGGGGCTGTTTGTTACTGCAGTACTGCACAGCTGTCCTGACGGAGGGGCTGTTTGTTACTGCAGTACTGCACAGCTGTCCTGACGGAGGGGCTGTTTGTTACTGCAGTACTGCACAGCTGTCCTGACGGAGGGGCTGTTTGTTACTGCAGTACTGCACAGCTGTCCTGACGGAGGGGCTGTTTGTTACTGCAGTACTGCACAGCTGTCCTGACGGAGGGGCTGTTTGTTACTGCAGTACTGCACAGCTGTCCTGACGGAGGGGCTGTTTGTTACTGCAGTACTGCACAGCTGTCCTGACGGAGGGGCTGTTTGTTACTGCAGTACTGCACAGCTGTCCTGACGGAGGGGCTGTTTGTTACTGCAGTACTGCACAGCTGTCCTGACGGAGGGGCTGTTTGTTACTGCAGTACTGCACAGCTGTCCTGACGGAGGGGCTGTTTGTTACTGCAGTACTGCACAGCTGTCCTGACGGAGGGGCTGTTTGTTACTGCAGTACTGCACAGCTGTCCTGACGGAGGGGCTGTTTGTTACTGCAGTACTGCACAGCTGTCCTGACGGAGGGGCTGTTTGTTACTGCAGTACTGCACAGCTGTCCTGACGGAGGGGCTGTTTGTTACTGCAGTACTGCACAGCTGTCCTGACGGAGGGGCTGTTTGTTACTGCAGTACTGCACAGCTGTCCTGACGGAGGGGCTGTTTGTTACTGCAGTACTGCACAGCTGTCCTGACGGAGGGGCTGTTTGTTACTGCAGTACTGCACAGCTGTCCTGACGGAGGGGCTGTTTGTTACTGCAGTACTGCACAGCTGTCCTGACGGAGGGGCTGTTTGTTACTGCAGTACTGCACAGCTGTCCTGACGGAGGGGCTGTTTGTTACTGCAGTACTGCACAGCTGTCCTGACGGAGGGGCTGTTTGTTACTGCAGTACTGCACAGCTGTCCTGACGGAGGGGCTGTTTGTTACTGCAGTACTGCACAGCTGTCCTGACGGAGGGGCTGTTTGTTACTGCAGTACTGCACAGCTGTCCTGACGGAGGGGCTGTTTGTTACTGCAGTACTGCACAGCTGTCCTGACGGAGGGGCTGTTTGTTACTGCAGTACTGCACAGCTGTCCTGACGGAGGGGCTGTTTGTTACTGCAGTACTGCACAGCTGTCCTGACGGAGGGGCTGTTTGTTACTGCAGTACTGCACAGCTGTCCTGACGGAGGGGCTGTTTGTTACTGCAGTACTGCACAGCTGTCCTGACGGAGGGGCTGTTTGTTACTGCAGTACTGCACAGCTGTCCTGACGGAGGGGCTGTTTGTTACTGCAGTACTGCACAGCTGTCCTGACGGAGGGGCTGTTTGTTACTGCAGTACTGCACAGCTGTCCTGACGGAGGGGCTGTTTGTTACTGCAGTACTGCACAGCTGTCCTGACGGAGGGGCTGTTTGTTACTGCAGTACTGCACAGCTGTCCTGACGGAGGGGCTGTTTGTTACTGCAGTACTGCACAGCTGTCCTGACGGAGGGGCTGTTTGTTACTGCAGTACTGCACAGCTGTCCTGACGGAGGGGCTGTTTGTTACTGCAGTACTGCACAGCTGTCCTGACGGAGGGGCTGTTTGTTACTGCAGTACTGCACAGCTGTCCTGACGGAGGGGCTGTTTGTTACTGCAGTACTGCACAGCTGTCCTGACGGAGGGGCTGTTTGTTACTGCAGTACTGCACAGCTGTCCTGACGGAGGGGCTGTTTGTTACTGCAGTACTGCACAGCTGTCCTGACGGAGGGGCTGTTTGTTACTGCAGTACTGCACAGCTGTCCTGACGGAGGGGCTGTTTGTTACTGCAGTACTGCACAGCTGTCCTGACGGAGGGGCTGTTTGTTACTGCAGTACTGCACAGCTGTCCTGACGGAGGGGCTGTTTGTTACTGCAGTACTGCACAGCTGTCCTGACGGAGGGGCTGTTTGTTACTGCAGTACTGCACAGCTGTCCTGACGGAGGGGCTGTTTGTTACTGCAGTACTGCACAGCTGTCCTGACGGAGGGGCTGTTTGTTACTGCAGTACTGCACAGCTGTCCTGACGGAGGGGCTGTTTGTTACTGCAGTACTGCACAGCTGTCCTGACGGAGGGGCTGTTTGTTACTGCAGTACTGCACAGCTGTCCTGACGGAGGGGCTGTTTGTTACTGCAGTACTGCACAGCTGTCCTGACGGAGGGGCTGTTTGTTACTGCAGTACTGCACAGCTGTCCTGACGGAGGGGCTGTTTGTTACTGCAGTACTGCACAGCTGTCCTGACGGAGGGGCTGTTTGTTACTGCAGTACTGCACAGCTGTCCTGACGGAGGGGCTGTTTGTTACTGCAGTACTGCACAGCTGTCCTGACGGAGGGGCTGTTTGTTACTGCAGTACTGCACAGCTGTCCTGACGGAGGGGCTGTTTGTTACTGCAGTACTGCACAGCTGTCCTGACGGAGGGGCTGTTACTGCAGTACTGCACAGCTGTCCTGACTGAAACAGTGTCTGAGGTGGAGGGACAAAAAGAAATCTGCTGCCCTGTTATCCCAAGAAGCAAAGGGTATGCCAGGCTGAACGTGGCTTGGAACTGTCCTGGCCACAGCTCCTCTGGGATCCCTGCACGCTTCTCCCTGGTTGGGTGTGGGTCAGGGCCGTGGCAGACACCAGGCAAGACTCAACACATCTGGTCTCCAACGACCCCAGAGAAGGCGTCCCACGAGTAAGTGGCAGTTGCCTGTGTTCGTGGCTAACATGTTGGCCAGGCCAGGCACGAACTGGTGACCTTCCTGCCTCAGGCCCCCACGCTGCCATGGGACTGTAGGTCCACGCCATCACTATGCTGAGGGTGGGTGGGGACTCGAACCCAGGCCCCTGTGTGGCTCCAGCCTGTGGAGCACGGTGGTTTAGCTGCACCGATCACCATGGCCGGGGCGCCCATCTTCCTAAGCAACCACATAAAGGCCAGGGCCATCTGTCATGTCTCAGGGCCCTGCTGTCAGCCACACAGTGGGTCACACTGGGTTCTGACCCGGTTCTGACCCACTCCCTCTGGTTGCCAAGGGCCTGATGGACAGGCTGGGTTTCTGGTGCGGGCGGGGTAGGCTCACAGGGACGCTCGAAAGGTTACACTGCAAAGCCCTGGACCCGTGACGACAGCCGGCAGCTCAGGTGAGCAGAATGCCAACACCCTGCCTTCTCCCCTGTGCCGAGCCAGCACGGCTTCCTGAGATTTAGGGCTCTGCGTGACATTTACTTTGCGCGCCTTGAAGTGCATAGGAGACGTTCACCTTCACCTTCAGGGGCTAATCGAGGTGTCTGCAAGCTATGGCTGTTTATCATAATAAAGGGCAAAAAGAAAAGCGGACCTGCATAAATGCAGTGTGTAAATCCCACCCCAGTTTATCTGCACCCCTGACTCATGCCTTTATTGGAGTTTTTCTAGCAGGAGGAATGTGGGCTTAGGAAACGCCTCTGAGCCCTCAGGCTGGCACCCTCGCTTTCGCTGCCGCTCCGTGGGGCCTCCTGGGTCCCCAAGCTGCCCTGTGCCTGCAGAGTGAGTGCACCAGTGCTCAGCACCCCAAGAAAGGTGGGACCGCCTAGGCCAGCCCTGCCTTGGCCCCGGGGAGGCAATGTCAGCCCATTGCTCCCTCAACCCCTCCCTGAGCCCCAGAGGCAAGGCAGGAGCTACTGGGCCCTAAGAGCCGTCACTGCTGGAGAAGTAGCCCCTGCAGAGGGAGCCTGAGGGACATGGTGGGGACAGGACGCAGGGCGGGTAGTGCCTGAGCCCAAGGCGGCCAGCCTTCTGTGAACCAGCCTGAGGGCGCAGAGGGCTTCCACCGGCTGACGAGGTGGGGAGCTCGTCAGAGCCCTCCGAGCTCTGGAGCCCTGGGATGTCCCGACCTGGGGCGGCACATGCTGCGGTTTTCTCCTGATCTGGCTGGCACCGAGGCCCAGGGCCCTTGTGTGGCTGTGTCTGTCCTGCCTCCTGGCTCTGTGCTGACCGGCCCAGCCCTCCCCTCTCCCAGCCCGAGCTAGGCTGACCTCCGGGTGGGCGAAGACCTGGTGAAGACCGGGGAGCTGGAGGGTGGCTTAGCAGTGGAGACAGCTCCGAAACTGGGGAATCGGGCTATCCGAGACTGGCTGTCCCAAGTCCGGCCTGGCCATCCGTGGGCTCTGACGTCTGCTGGAAAAGGCCTGGAGCAGACTAACTGCTGACCTCAGGGGTCACCCTGCTTCCTCTGCGGGCCAACTGAGGCCAGACCTCCCTGGGCCTGCCGTCCCCTGCCTGGAGCCGGTCCTCCCTCCCACAGTAACCTCCTCTAGGGCTCATGGGTGGCCAGCCCTGCAGGGTTCTCTGCGGGAGTGCTGCTGTCGCCCCAGGGTGGGGCCAGGGGGTGAGAGTGGGGGAGCTGGGGCGGGGCCAGTCATTGCGCTGTCCAGACTAGTGCTCAGGCCGCTCTGAGGCCTGCCCCGTCGCCCTCTGGTTTTCAGAGAGCCCCTTGCGGGCCGTGGTGGTGGACCACAGGGAGGGCCTCACCGTCCTTGGCCACGTCTCCGATGGGCACACTGTGCTTCTGTGCCATGTAGCCCAGGAAAGAGAAGACGACGAAGCCCGAGGAGAAGCTGGTCAGGGAGTTGATGGCGGTGGTGACAAGGGCGTCTCTGCAAGGACAGGGCGGACGGGGCTGCGACTTCCATCCCCCATTTGCTTCTGCGGGAGGGGCAGGGCCTCGGGCCACCCCTGTACCAGGCGGAGGCCGACCACAGGCACCTGGACGCCCTGGCTGTTTTCTAACTCGTCCCACTTTGGGATGTGAGCAGGGGCTGGGAAGGTCGCGGAGAGCAAGGCTCCGCCTAGACCCGCTTCTGCTGCCGAGGTTTGGGGTCCAGCATGTCATTGGATCCCCTTGAGCGGGCAGCACTGGCTGAGCCCTGCTCGGGCCTGGTGGCCTGAATGTCCTCCTGCGGCCCAGGGGTGCTCCTCCAGGGGGGTGCTCCGTCCGGGGCAGGTGGGACGCATTCTCTCATGTGTGGCTTTGGGGTGGAGGGACCCTGGGCAAGGGAGGACAGGGACTGACCGAAACGGGGAGGAGGGCAGGCCCTGGGTGGAGGGGGCTGGCACGGCTGGGCTTCCGGGGGAACCTGGCCCCTCTGCAGTCTGAAAGGCTCCTGGCGGGGACAGCCTTCACATTCGTTGCCTTCCTCGAAGCCAGAGAGGGGCTGTGGCTGGGACCTGCTGTTTTCTCCTCCTTTAAAGGCCGTGGCCCACAGGTGCATAAGCCGCCATCGTTCTGCCCGCACCCAGGGCGCGGCATCGCCGGAGCTGAGGCCCACGCCCGTGGCCCATGCCGGCAGCCCCGCCGGCCCAGAGGGGCCTACCTGTAGCAGTTGTTCGTGAACGCGTTGTAGCTGGAGAAGGCAATCAGCACCCCGAAGCCCACGCCCAGGGAGAAGCACACCTGGGTAGCAGCGTCTATCCAGACCTGCAGGGCACAGGGCAGAGATAGCACCAGAGATGGGCGGTTGGGCGGTCGGAGGTGGTGCGGAAGAGTAGGTGAGCCGGAGGCAAGGTGCAAGTGACCCCCTCCCGCTCCCCTCCTCCCACCTGGGGACGGCCTCCAGCTAGGACAGCGAGAGCTGTGAGGAGCAGTCCCTTCAGTTTGAAACGCCATGTCACCATCTACATGGGACTCATGGCAGAGGCGACACAGAGAGACCCACCCTACCATGGCCTGAGTGGTGTGGCGAAGGGGGCCACCCTGCCTTTACTGTGCTCTGGGTCTCAGCAAGGCTGCGATCTGGGAGAGGGGACCTGGGAGAGGGGACCTGGGAGAGGGGACCTGGGAGTGGAGACCTGGCAGAGGGGACCTGGGAGTGGGGACCTGGGAGTGGGGACCTGGGAGTGGAGACCTGGGAGAGGGGACCTGGGAGTGGGGACCTGGGAGGAGCACGCGGGGAGAGGGGACCTGGGAGTGGAGACCTGGCAGAGGGGACCTGGGAGTGGGGACCTGGGAGTGGGGACCTGGGAGTGGAGACCTGGGAGAGGGGACCTGGGAGTGGGGACCTGGGAGAGGGGACCTGGGAGTGGGGACCTGGGAG